AGATATATATATATATATATATATATTCCAGTCAATTCGAGTCGAACACGAGTGAACAAACTTTTGTTCGTGTTCGGCTCATTTACATTTCGAGCTTAATCATGTTCGGCTCGTTAGGCTTAACGAACAGGCCGAACATGAACTGCTTAACGAGCCAAATACAAGCTGTTTGAGAACAATGAGCCAAATTGACGGGTCTACTAAGAACAAGTAGAACTGGTTGATTAGTTATATTGTTGGTATCAATAATCAATCCTTTGTTTCCTCTGCTGCAGTGTGGATTGTTTAATGATATTAATTTACTTTAGCAGTATGAATGTAATTCTTCTATTAGCGTATCACCCGGATTATGTAGGGAAGGTATTAAATAAGCAACTATCAGCAGACACTGGGGCATGCATCTGGGTTTTTAAAAACTATTATGCTTGTTTTTGTTAGGATAACGTATAAATTATATGTTGAGGGGACATCCTAGGAAAATGAACACAAAAATAGTATCAAAAGGGATTGTTCATCACAAAAGTCATTAATATTTATGTGTTTCAAAATCAAGCCTACAATCATAAGAGACGAGACATCTGAAAAATTATAAAGAAGCCACAAAAATTTACAAATAAAAGGAGCATAAGAAAAAAATCTATCTCAATCTGTAGAGCACCAATCACACACACACCCAAAAAAAAGAAAAAAAAAAGAAATAAGAAAACCGCTTGTGAAAATAACTCTAGAGTGACAATAAAGAAAGTGATTAATCTCGAAATGGTGGCATCTCACATCTTTTTACACAATTTCCGGCACAACCACACTTTTGGTTTGTCAAGGTGATGTACCACGGTAACATAATATCTTTTTCATTTGTTTTCTCTCATCTTTCTCTTTTCTCTTTCTTATTTATTTTCCATTCATTCTTTTTTCCTCATCAAATCAGTTAGGTAGTCGATAACCAGCATAAAATTTGTCGAAAAATTATAGCATGAATCCTTTTGTTCATTGTGTAAATGCTAGGATATCCTCTGGAAGCGACGCGCTGTATAGCCTGAATACAGTGAAAGTGTGCAAGAACTGCTACAACGACACTTGGGCGTAGTGTCAAATAAGCAAGGGTTTCTACATTATGGACGGATGCAAGTAAAGAAGTTAGTCCATGAAAGTAATATTAGGATATGATCTTGGAAATATGTATTCTCATTGGTAAATTAATGAAATTAGTTAAAATTATGATTCATAGAAAGATAAATATCTTATGTATTCAAGAAACTAAATGAGTTGGAGAAAATGTTAAGGAGATTGATAACTTATGCTTTAAACTTTAGTATTCAGGTAATAGTCACATTAGAAATGATGGTGTTTTTATAGATACTAGTTTGAAAGATTATTTTGTAAAAACTAATAGAATTGTAGGTCTTAAGATTATTGTTGACACTAGGATTTTTAATTTTATAAGTGATTATGCTCCTCAAATAGGTTTAGATATAGGTCCTAAACATAACTTCTGGAATGACTTAGAAGAATTAATACAAATGATACTTCTTAAAGAAAAAAAATTTATTGGAGGAGATTAAATAGACATGTTGGTAAAGTGGTAGAAGATTTTAGAAATACTCATGGTGGCTATGATTTTGGAGTGATTAATGAAGAAGGTGGAGCCATATTAGATTTTGTTTTAGTGTATGATTTTGTTATTGCTAATACTTTATTCAAGAAAAGAGATGAGCATATTATTACTTATAAGAGTGTGTTTAATAAAACACAAATTGATTATTTTCTTATAAAAAAAAGAAATCGCCGAAAATGTAAAGATTGTAAGATCATTCTAAGTGAGGATTTAAGTACTCAACATCAATTATTAGTTATAGATTTTAAAATAAAGAGTTGTAAAATAAGGAATACTATGAATCATTGTCGTAAAATTTGATGGGAGTGCCTAAAAGACACAAATAAAATTATTTTTATGAATAAAATTCAAGATTTCAGTTTTGGGATATTCATGAAGGAGCAAATTCTATGTGGGATAAAGTAACAAACACTATTAAACAAGTAACAAAAGAGGTACTGTAAAATCAAAAAAAAAAATTTCTATAAATAAAAATAGTTGATGGTGAGATAATAATGTGCAAGAAAAGATAACATATAAGAATCATGTTATAAAAATTAGTTTAAATTTAAAAGCGTAGAGAACTGGGAATAATATCAAATGACTTTTCGAGTGTCTAAGAGAACAATTTGCGACATTAAAAATTATGCTTTTAACGATCTTTAGAGTAGATTAGATACTAAAGATGCTGAAAAATATATATATAAACTAGCCAAACAAAGTGAAAAGTAAAGTAAAAATTTAACTCATGTAAAGTGTGTTAAAGATGAAAATCAGAAAATGATTTTCTTAGAAAAAGATATTCAACATAAGTGGGCGAGTTTTTTAATAAACTTTTTTAGTGAAGTTTTTGAAAATATGATCGACTTTAGTGATCTTAATACCATTAATAATAATAAAATATTTCATTTTTACGATCGTATTAGTAAAAAAAAAGTTGAGAAGACTTCAAAGAAAACTAAGAGTGAAAAGTCTGTAGGACCTGATCATATCCCAATTGAAGTGTGGAAATATATAGAAGATTTTAGAGTTTTTTGGCTTACTAAACTCTTTAATCTTATTATAAAAACTAAAAAAGATGCCTGAGGAGTGGAGGAAGAGAATTTTGATCCTCATTTTTAATAATAAAAGGGATGCACAAGAGTGTGCAAATTATAGAGGAATTAAGTTGATGCAGTATACTTTAAAATTATGGGAGAGAGTAATTGAACATAAGTTAAGACATATTACAAAGATTTTTCATAATCAATTTGGATTTATGTCGGACAGGTCTACCATGCAAGTTATACATTTATTAAGAGGTTTGATGGAGAAGTTCAGAGATAATAAAGATGATCTACATATGGTTTTTATTGATTTAGAAAAAGCTTACAATAAGATTCCAAGAAATATCCTTTAGAGATTTCTTGAGAAGAAAGGTGTTGCTATGACTCATATTCAAGTCATTAAAGATTTGGATACTAGAGCTGTTACTTGTGTTCGACCAGAAGGAGGATTGACCAAATATTTTTCTATTTTTGTTAGATTACATCAGGGATCGCTTTAAGCCCATATGGATGCTCTTATTGGACATTTATAGGATGATGTACCTTGATATATGCTTTCTGCTAATGATATCCTTCTCGTGGATAAGACGAGAGAGAAAGCTCGGGAAAAACTTCGATTATGGAGGTTTACATTGGAATCTAAAGGCCTTCATTTGAGTAGAACTAAAACTCAATACATGGAATGTAATTTTAGTAGTAGTAGCTCTGGTGACAGAATTGTAACTGTAGGTGATCAAATTATTAAAAGGTGTGAATGCTTTAGATATCTCGGGTCCATTGTTCAAAGTGATGATGATATAGATGAGAATTTTATTAGTAGAATTTAAGTTGGTTGGTTGAAGTGGAAGAATGCTTCGAGCCTATTGTGTGATAGAAAAGTATCGCTTAGACTGAAAGGAAAATTTTATAAGATGATGGTGAGACTGCAATGCTCTATGGCGCTGAATGTTGGCCTTTAAAGGAGAAGCATAATACTAAGTTAAGTGTTGCCGAGATGAGAATGATTAGGTGGATGAGTGGCTTTTCACTTAGAGACAAAATGCAAAATGAATATATCCGTGATAGAGTTGTTGTAGCTCCAGTGACGGACAAAATTAGAGAGAGTCGTCTTAGATGGTTTGGTCACATTAAATGTCAACCATCCGATGATCCGATTAGGAGAGTATATGTTTTAGATTTGACTTATGTTAAGAAAGGCAGAGGTAGACCTAGAAAGATTTGGGCATATTGTATAAAAAATGATCTTAGTTTATTAGAATTAAATGAAAATATGACACTCGATACGACGCAATGGAGAAAAAGGATTCATGTAGCCGACCCCACTTAGTGGGATAAAGGTTTGTTGTTGTTGTAACATATAGCATGTCATAAGATTTTTTCTCTTCACAAACATAAGCCTAGCCAAAGATACCATGCAAAACCGAAACCATTATATTGAAGCCACAAAAATATACAAATAAAAGGAGCATAAGAGAACAATTTTTACTAAGCTCTACCACACCAACCTCACAAAAAGAAGGAATCCCCAAATCTCTAAAAGCAAACGCAAGAAAAAATAACTCATGAGATACATTGAAGAAAACAACTAACATGAGAGACATTAAAGAAAACAACTAAGCTCAAAATGGATGATTGCAGTTCTCCATGGAATTTTCAAAAAATTTTTGGCACAGCTACACTTTCGTTCATCAAGATGATGCTCCGCAGATATTATCTTTTTCTTTTGTTTCCTTTTACTTTCTCTTCTCTCTCATCCTATAAACTTATTTTGTCTTTTAGCATATATCGAGTGTATAAGCTGAATGAGTTTTGTTGAAGTCTTTCTATATTTGCATACCTTTTCATCTTTCTTCTTTAAAACCTTATATATATTATCTTTTTTTATTTTATTTTATTGTGCAGAAATGCTTTCAAGCATGAACTTAGTTTGTTGCTGAAGGTTCGACATCCTAATGTTGTCCAATTTCTTGGTGCTGTCACACAGAACACACCATTGATGATTATTTCCGAATACCATCCAAAAGTTAGTTTATGCTCGCCATTCTCTCACTGCTGTTTTTTTTTTTGTTTGAATTGTGGGAAGAATTACTTGCATGCCACTTAATCCCTATGTATTTACAAATCTAACTCATAGATTTTTATGTATTCAATGTGGAAATACATAAGAACTGGGTCGTATGTATGTAAAGGCATGCCAGTGTTGGGCTAATTCTTTTTGATAATCATTATTTCCTCCGTTTCCACATCTTGGCTGACATCTTGATTTTGAATCTCAGGGCAACTTAGGAAGCTATCTTCAGAAAAAAGGTCGACTACCGTTACACAAAGTTCTTAAATTTGCCATTGACATTGCCAGGCAAGACTTTAGTCCTTTTTACTGCTTTAAAAAGCAGAATTTCTTAATTCTGAAAACATTTACTTATGGCCCAATGATTGCTAAAATTCTTGAATATTGTGCTCGAATATGTAGCACATTAGCCGGGAACAAAATGAAAAATCTCAATTTCAGGTTAGAGCGCTCCACAAGCTTGATAAAAAGATCACGAATATTAAAATAGCAGGCATGCTACTTAATTTGTCAAGGCATTTGAGCTAGACTTTGCAAATAAATTAGATATCTTCATGCCTCAACGTCAAACATCATATTCCCAATTATTTCATTTGATATATTAATTGATTGCATGATAGGCAACATTATGCCATCGGAACAACTGAAACTTCTATCTAGTTTAGGGTTCTATTTGTAAATATGAAATATCGAGGAAGTATGGGGGTTTATTTATAAGAATTTTGTAAGGCTCTATGTAAGCCCAAATCATGAATGAATAGAACAAGCTTTTAGAACAATTATTTCTTTATGGTATCAGAGTTAAACCCTAGCCCTAGCCGTCGCTAGTGTTGCTCCAGTACTGCTGCTCCTCTCTTTAGGCTGGCTATCGCATCAAGAAGAATGAGATAAGAGGAGGCTTCGGTTTCAATCACCGGTGCAGGAAGTGTCGAAGATCGATCGAAAGGCATAGGAGATGCCTTCAGCTGCTGGTTCAAGGAAGAGAGTTTTTTTCGGCTCAATTGAAAGGAAGAGGCGACACCTTTGGCTGTTGGTTTGCGGCATAGAGGTTCTTGTGGCTTGTGTTAGGATAGGGGTGAAGCATGTGTGATATTTAAGTAGTGAAGGAGAAAACTTTGGTTCTGCGTGTGTGTAAGGATGACGAATGCTAGGGAATGTTGTGTCATTTTGAAGTGAGCCGGTGGGAATAATTAAATTGAGTATGACCTTGACGATGAGATAGATTAAGATTAGATGAAGAAGAGGAAGAATGTCGCTTGTAATTTGTGTGATCTAGACTTGGATCTTTGTGATTAAGGTTTTTAGGAGATGAAGATAGTGCAGAAGGTAAATGATTGTAACTTCTGGAAAGATAGATCCTAATGTTCTGAAGGTCTAGATCAAACTCATACAGGGAGCTAGCGTCTCGACAAGAACAACTACCACAACAAATGCTTTGGCGTAGGTGAAGTTAGATTTCCGTCCCGTGAATCTGAAACTTGATGGATCGACCACATATTTGAGTTGGTCATGTCGGATCGAGGCTGCTCTAGTAGGGATAAGAATAGAGGGATATCTGACGGAGGTTGAGTCAGAGAGTGTCAATGTTGAGGGGGATGAGTGGACTACACACACCTTACTTTACACCTGATTACTCTATTCGATGGTTTTATTGATTGCCTCATCAGTAGATGTCATTCAAAAGATGAGGGACATCTGAGCGAAGCTGAAGATGATCTATGCTGGGCTGAGAATCGCATGAGAGTGTTCCTGATTCACCGTGAGATAAAGGCAATGGTACATGGTGATAAATCGATTTAGGAGTACTCTATAGATTGGGAGAGGCTATGGGCAGATCTTAATCATTTTTCATTGATGTCGTGCTGTGGCAATTTGAGGTGTAAGAAGGGGGAGATATTTGCACAGATGAGAACTTCTGTTTCTGGCTCATCTGAATCGAAGATCGATCGAAAGGCATAGGAGATGCCTTCAGCTGCTGGTTCAAGGAAGAGAGTTTTTTTCGGCTCAATTGAAAGGAAGAGGCGACACCTTTGGCTGTTGGTTTGCGGCATAGAGGTTCTTGTGGCTTGTGTTAGGATAGGGGTGAAGCATGTGTGATATTTAAGTAGTGAAGGAGAAAACTTTGGTTCTGCGTGTGTGTAAGGATGACGAATGCTAGGGAATGTTGTGTCATTTTGAAGTGAGCCGGTGGGAATAATTAAATTGAGTATGACCTTGACGATGAGATAGATTAAGATTAGATGAAGAAGAGGAAGAATGTCGCTTGTAATTTGTGTGATCTAGACTTGGATCTTTGTGATTAAGGTTTTTAGGAGATGAAGATAGTGCAGAAGGTAAATGATTGTAACTTCTGGAAAGATAGATCCTAATGTTCTGAAGGTCTAGATCAAACTCATACAGGGAGCTAGCGTCTCGACAAGAACAACTACCACAACAAATGCTTTGGCGTAGGTGAAGTTAGATTTCCGTCCCGTGAATCTGAAACTTGATGGATCGACCACATATTTGAGTTGGTCATGTCGGATCGAGGCTGCTCTAGTAGGGATAAGAATAGAGGGATATCTGACGGAGGTTGAGTCAGAGAGTGTCAATGTTGAGGGGGATGAGTGGACTACACACACCTTACTTTACACCTGATTACTCTATTCGATGGTTTTATTGATTGCCTCATCAGTAGATGTCATTCAAAAGATGAGGGACATCTGAGCGAAGCTGAAGATGATCTATGCTGGGCTGAGAATCGCATGAGAGTGTTCCTGATTCACCGTGAGATAAAGGCAATGGTACATGGTGATAAATCGATTTAGGAGTACTCTATAGATTGGGAGAGGCTATGGGCAGATCTTAATCATTTTTCATTGATGTCGTGCTGTGGCAATTTGAGGTGTAAGAAGGGGGAGATATTTGCACAGATGAGAACTTCTGTTTCTGGCTCATCTGAATCCGGTCTTTGATCAGAGGAGATCAGTCCTTCTAGCCCAGACGACGACCCTTTCACTGGATGAGGCCATCACTATGATATAGGAGGGGAGTTACATGAGGCTACACTCTGAGCCGTGTGTACTGCCAGGTGCGCGATCAGCTTTAGCTCCCTCGAACTCATGACAGGTGTCCAAGGGGAAACTCGCAAGCGCTACAACTGTGGTGAAGTAGAACATTTGAGTAAAGTTTGTCTGAGACAGGCGGACATGGATGTGGACGTGAACAATTTGGAGTTCGTGGTCGTGATTGTGGTGGTTGAAGAGGTTTCAGAAGGGGCTATCAGACAAGTCTGATGGTAATAGAGGATGAGGGAGAGACAGATGTGTTCTTTACCGATGAGGATCATGAGTTTCTGGAGATGTTGAAGATGAGGCAGAAAACAACAAATGATGAGGCCGAGATTTCATCTCTCTCTTCATCATCAAGGGGTAACATTGCTACTTATGGTCACTCTAACAAAGGTACTCGTGATACGCATGCTCGTCGCTATTTCTACCACACAATCACCATAATGAATATTAAATTCCCGTGCATCTCAACATGTGGCAGGTACTACTAGAGAGTTCTTTTCCCATACTCACCTAGCATTTCTAGAGAGCATTCAGACTGTTGATGGTACAATACGACCTGTAGTGGGTAAGGGTAGAGTGAGGTGTACTGATTATATGCTTTTGTCTAATGTTTTGCATGATCCTTACTTTTCAGTTAATATTTTTTTTCTTTAGTATCCTTATTCTCCAACTAAAACGTGTTCTTTCATTTGATATTCTGAAGGTGATCTTTTAAGAGAAAGGAACGAGCTCGATACTTGGGAGTGGAACATGGCATGGTGAAATTTGGTACTTGGATAGAAAGAGGATGGACTCAGCTTTTGACATTCATGGTAGAGAGTGTTGAAAGGGATCTGGGAGGAATGTGGAGGATGTATTGTTGCTATTATTTAGTTGTTTATCTGTCCTTGTATGAAAGACAAATAAACAAAAACTTGTTTGTGATGCTTGCGATTTTGGTAAGTTTAATAGGAGCTGCTATATAGTTATGGGAATAGGTGTTCTTGTGATTTTGATTTCATACATTTTGATGTTTGGGACTTTGTTCTACGAGTTCGATGAATGATTGTCGATATTGTCTTTCCTTGATTGCTTTTTTCTTGTGTTAGTTTTAGCTGATGAAAGTATGGGTGATGTGTTTGCTTGCTTTAATGATTTCTACAAGACAATCTAGAGCAAATATGTTGTTAGAGTGAAGGTATTGAGGTTTGATAATGAGACAAAATATGCTAACAAGACGTTTGAGAAATACTTATTAGCCCAAGGGATATGTATTAAACCACATGTTCATACTCACCGGCACAAAACTAAGTAGCAGAGAGAAATAATAGACAACTTCTAGAGGTAGCCCAAAGACTAATGATCGTGATGAATGTCCTAAAGCACTTGTGGGGCCAAATAGTTTTGACAGCTGCTTCATCGATCAATTGAATGCCCTCGAGATTGTTGCATTGGAAGTCTCTTTGTCAGATATTAAAAAAAGATAATAGCGGGATTTTTCTATTGAAGGCATTGAGATGTGTACGTTTTGTAAATGACAACAGACCATCTGTAAAAGAAATTGGATCCAGAGTTGTAAAGTGTCTCGTGGGGTATTTTGCTACCCAGAATGAGTATTTATTGGAGCCCGATAAAGAAGATACTATATTTGTGAGCATGAATATGACTTTTAGAGAATTCGAACTGTACTATATTCTGGAGGTGACCTCACCTGATATTGGAGTTATGAGGCAAGAGGGGGTGAGTAGTAATAGTGAGAGATTGGTAGCGATGCCTTGTCCTGTAATGTGCAATGAATATGCTAAGGAGCTGAAAATGAGGAGATTGAAAATGATGAGATTGAACCCAGAGATGTTGAGACTCCAGCTGAAGGGAAATGTGTTTGCAGTGCCACTCGTGCCAACAAGTCTCTTATCATGGTTCGCCCCGACTCTTGAAACACTTATACCATCCACCTCAGACTCAGAAGTCACAGGTGATATGATTCATCTTCTACTTCCAATCTCATAACCTTAAGAAGGATCTCTCACAGGAATGCGGGACATCCTTTTGATCGTTTTGGGGTGAGAACATGACATTGCTCAATTTGTTTCATACTCTAACATATCACCTTTCAATGGAACATTCATTATATTTTTGGATACTATCTCTATACCCAAGTGTTAGCAGGTAGTTAAGGAGCATCCAAAGTGGAAAGCGGCCATGCATAAAGAGCTTGAGGTTCTCGATAAAAACCAAACATGGGAAACTACCAGT